GTTTCTTCTTCCCTTTATTTCAAATCATTTAACACAATATACAACCATCCATTTACTACCATCTAAAGTTTTTCAAATTTGAAAGCATTTTCAAATCATCTAGAGCTCTTATTTAAATGCATTCCATTCAATATTGGACCTAAAATCTTTTATTTCTAACATCCTTCTCAGTGGTACTGAAGTGACACACTTTAAGGGTCTAAAGCAGGCTTCTCAAGAATTATAGTTATGCACACATATTGACCTCCTCAGTCTTGGGAGTGTTCTAGGACCAGGGAACCAAGAACAGTTTTTCTTCCAAACTCCATATAAAATAAGAGTGGTATTTTCTCCTAATGTTAAATGACACTAAAAAAAAGGCTAAGGGAGACTGCCTGGTGGCACAAGGGGTAAAGTCGCAGTGCTTTCAAAAGCTAGCAACAGCCACTGCGGCATGAGTTCTATCACTGGCCAGGGAGCTCACTCACAGGGCGTAGCAGCCCTCTCCTGTCTCTCCCACTGCTCCCCTCAGCAGTGTATTTCAGTAGATCAACCTGTTCTGCTCCCCACTCTCTCTGGTGAATCCACTCACTCCCCCCCACCCCCGTACCTCTGCCGGATACCCCAGTTCCTGTGTGCATAAATAAAAATAAATCTTTAAAAAAAAAAAAAAGCTAAGATATCTCTATACCTATAGTTATCACCAGACAATACAGTCATGATACCTTACAAATAAGTTCTACTAAAGCAAAACCAAAATCAATACAGCTCAATTAAGGCACATTTTGGTTCCCTCATGTCCAGAATTGTACTTTTGGGTATAGTTTGGCTCTATCTGTAACTTGAAAAGATTTTTTTAATTTCAGTTCCTGATATATTGCCATTTCACAAATTAAAACCCAACATGGTTGACAAAGGATTGATGAAAGGGTTGAAGAGTCTGACCCAGAAGACCCCCTTGGGAGTCCTTGACACAGATTGGCGACACAAGCAACAATCTTCAAAACAATGCTGAGCTCAGGTTGAGATGTCAGTTTTGACAAATGGGTTTGTTGTTCTCTGACTCAAAAGTACAACTTCTAAAGGTTCAAAATAAGAGAACCAGTTGAATATTTGGCAAGATCTGAGGAAAGGTTAGGGAGAATAGAACCAAGCATATGTGACTAAAGAGTGTAACCACAGGGAGTTTTAAACAAAGAACTATGTTAACAGTTAAATCTAGGGCCTCCCTATCAAGCTATCAGCAGCCACTACAGCATGAGTATGATCCCTGGCCAGGGAGCTGACCCACATGGCTGTCTCCATGAGAGACAGAGAGCTGACCCTCTCCTGTCTCCACCTGCTTGCTCCCCTCAGCAGTAAATTTCAATAGATCCTCCTATTCTTTTCCCCACTCTGTCTCTGGTGAATCATCTCACCCTCCACACCTCTGGCCTACACCCCAGTTCTTATATGCATAAATATATCTTAAAAAAAAAAAAAATTTACAGCTTGGAGCCTCCCTGGTGGTGGGTGTAGGAGTTAAGTATCACTGCTATCACCACTGCTGGCTGAGTGCTTAAGTTTGATCCCCAGCCAGGGAGCTAACCCAATTGGTGCAGCAGTCCTCTCCAGTCTCACCCACTACTCCGCTTCACAGTGTATATCAATATATCCACCTGTTCTGCTCCCCACTCTGTTCTGGTGGGTCCTCTCACCCCACCCCCCATACCTCTAGCCTACACCCCAGTTCTTCTGTGCATAAATAAATAAATAAATAATCTTTAAGAAAGAAATAACAGCTTGATTTTCTCCAACGCAAATGTTTCCGTGGATTTCCATCAGTCTAGAAGAGACTTGCAATTATAAAATGCTAGAAACATAAAGAATACTAAATACATTTTTTGACTGTTAACAACTCACTCTTACCCTAAATATCCCTGAATTTTGTTTCTACAACAGGAAAGGCAAAATCTTAAATGAAGAGACTTGCCTTCCAATTCTACCCAAGCCAATAACTAGATCAGTAAACCTGAAATTGATGGCTTTGCCACTCTGGCAAAAAGAGGCACGTAAACAGTCACTGAAAGCATCATATAGATGCAAAAGTCTACCACCTCTTGGACAAACTTCAAAGTTGACATTCCACTGGCGATTTCATGTTGCCAAGATATTTCTTCTGACTATAATCCCCCAAGGCCACTCAACCTTTTATAGAATTCGTGCTCATTTTCCATTAAATATCACTCACTTCTTTCATGAAACCTCCCTCCACTCCAAATAGAAAAAAAAAATACTTCATATTTTTTGATGCCCTGATTATACTTTATCTATTATAGATGACTATTTATAGCCTGTCTACCATCTCTGGCATCCCACATCTTGCACAATGCCTGGCACACAGCAGGTGCTGAGAATGTGTTTAAAGATTTCAGTCTACAAAGTTACAGTAGATTCCTGTGAAGTTTCTGTTTGTGCCAGCAGGGAGTTCAGTTCAATTTGAAGATACAGGAGGACAACTGCAGCACAACCAAAACTGCATCCCAGCCAGGTACATAAATACTGTGCAAATTTAGCCAGAGCATTTGTACAAAAGCTACACAAATGCAGATTATCTGGGTATCCTCTGGGGGTTACCTAACAACCTCAACTTCCCACCCAAAAGCCTCTTTAACCTGCTCTACTTTGTTCCATGTAGAAATCTCCTACCACACTATGTAATTTACTGACGTTTAGAGTTTTTGATTGTTTCCCAGAACATCATAAGCTCCAAGAAAGCAGAAATTATGTGTTTTGTTCATAAATGATACCCAGTGCCTGTATCAATGCCTGGCACAGTGAATGGCTTTTGAAATCAGTAATTTTTTCCTTCTATCTTGCAGTCTGCAGAGTTATGAGTCATCACCTGCACAACCCTATCTCAATTGCTCTTACTCCCTTTCCTTTAGCTCCACCCACTTACAGCAGCCTTCTAAGTAAACGTTTAATAACTGGAGGAAAATATTTATATTTAACTCATGAACTTATTTTCTCTGCTCATCCACTGGTACAGAAATAATATTCAGTAAACCATACCAAATAACAACCAAAAGTTTGTTCTTTCACTTCAGTAATAACCATTTCTATATGGTCTTCATTTCAAATTTAAAACTACTGGTGGACAAAGACTAAAATAAAAAATTTTGGATTAACTTTTTTAGATTGTCAAGCACATGGGCTAAATATGTTGAGAATATATTAACTGCTACATGTAACCAGATGGAAAAAGTGTGCCACAAATAGTGCAAACTCTCTAAAGTGCTAAACAGTATGTTCCTTAAGACAAGATTTTTCCTCTTTGGCCAATATTTTTCAGGAGAAATTATTCATTGCACTTACCCACTGCATTTCTCTAGCTATTAAATATCTATTAAATATTGAGCCCTGTAAAAATATGCTGCTATTGTATTCAGAAAATATATCAAAACCTTCTGCCTCCCTAGTTTCTGGCAAATATACATGTTCTTCACTACTTCAGGCAATTTAGCTTACGAGTTCCAAGATAAGCCCACCAGCAGCAGTCATGGATCATCAAAGACAGCTTTTAAATTATTGAAGAAATCAAACATTAGCAATATTAAACATATTCAAAATGAGAAACTTCCAACTGAGATGCCTGGATATGTAGATTCAAACTAATATAATTAATATAGAAAACAAAGGCTTTTATGAAATCACCCAGTCCTCTCATCTAGCATTACCAATCTAAAAACTCAGAATCAACTTCTAATAAGCCTAAAAACGGGGTTTCCACAAGCTCAAACGTTTCGTTGACACAAGCCAGGTACACATTAGAAATATCAGGAAGTCCAGCGCAGTTTTCTGAGATGGCTTAGTTTTGCTTAAATACTCTAAAGAAATTAATATTCTAAAACCAAGCATGTCAAAATAAGGGCTAATTAAATTCTAGGATTGAGGTGCCAATGTGCTAAATAAAAATTACAAGAGACAGGAAAAGAAATCTGAACAGAAAATAATCTTTAAGTGTTATTTCCTCCACAACAGTATAGGAGTATTTGAAGTGGGTTTCAGTATGCGAGTTCTTATTAGTTTTCCAACCAGAGTCCAAACACAGGCGAATCAAGGGAGGCCTTCCACAAAAGAATTTCCATAAAAACAAGGGAGCCTTCCATAAAAGAATTTTCCAAGCTTTAAGGTTTTTTTTTAGTTTTTCAGTCACCTCCCCCATGCGAGTCTTATCTAATACCTCCATATCCCCTTGGGCTATCCCATCTTTCTGCCCTTTCCCCCAAAACTCGTCTGCAACAAAAGATAAGTGCAATAATGATCAACATTAAATGTGAAGCTAAAGTTGGCACTTACAAATGATTTGCAAATCACCTCCCCAGTGTAGCTAATCAACCCAGGACACACTCCCAGACCCTATTTGGTGGTAGTCTATAAAAAGATAAAAGCCCGAGCCTGAGCCCTTCAAGACGCCCCGGGAAAGCTAGAAGCTGCTCCAAACCCCGAGACCCAAATCTGCCACCAGAGAATCCTGACCCGCCAGCAGCTTCGCTGCGATGTTACAGCCACAGGACTTGTCACATACACACACACCTCCACCCAAGTCCCCATTAACAGGGAACCCGACTAATAGGGCAGAAGTTAAAGGATCCGGTACCGGGGCAAGCACAGCGCTTCAGTGTCTGTGCCTGGCACCCAGAAGCTCGAGGCAGGCGAGGGGGACAGGCACCCCTGGCACGCGCCGGACCCCAATCTTGCCCCAGTGGGAGGCATCCACGAAGAGCAAGAACCCCGGAGAAGAGCGAAAGGAAAGGCTGGGGTGCCGACACCGGCGCCGGGGTGTGTCGGACTTGGGGTACGGGGAAGAAGATCTGCCCGGGCGGCTTCGTGGGGGCTTCCACGGGCGCTCGGAGCCGGCAAGCGCGCGGGGCCGGATCCCGGAGACCCGCAGGGCGGGACGCAGGGGTGAGCCAGGCGGGGGCCTGCGGCCCAGGTCACCCGAACAAAGCCGGCGCGCGCGGGGCCTGGCTACTCACAACAAGAAGCTCATGTTGGCCGTGGCGTGGGCGGCGGGGCCGGCGGTCGCGGGGCCTCCGGGCCAGGGAAGAGAGAGAAAGGCGCGAGGAAGGGATGGCGCGAGGGCGAGCAGACCGCGCGGCGGGCGGTGGCGGGGAGCGCCGGCTGTGGGGCGGCCGCAACTTGTTCAGCTTTGCTAGTTCCACAGGGAGGCAGAGGCAGCGGAAGTGGGAAGCGCGCTCGGATCACTCGCGGGGAGGGGAAGGGCCGGGAGGCGGGGAAAGGCGCTGCTCGCCGGCTCGGGGAGGACCGTCCTGCCGCGCGCTGGGGCTGCGGGCTCGCGGGATCGGGGGCCTGGAACGGGGAGCTCTCGCGAGAGCAGCGCACAGCCCCCCCCCCCACAGCCCCACCCCTCAGTCCCAGCCCCTCGCCACCCCCTGCAGCCCCTCCTCGTGGCCCCGAGCCCCGCTGGTGCGCTGGGGCGGCTGAGCCAATCGCGACCTGTCCGCCCGCTCCGGGTGGAGGCGCAGCGTTGCGCGATGCTTGGCTGGGGCTCAGGGTCGGGAAGGAAGGAGGCTTCGCGTGGGGTGGCCGCCAGAGCGCTGCCCGCTGCGATTGCTCAGCAAGCGATGATGAAAGGATCTGGACGCTCTTTGCTAGCATTTCAAACAGAGAAGGGAGTTAGTTTCATCTAGTTGGAATGGTTTAGGTGAGCTTTGGCTCTCAGAAGGGACTAAATGATTTTCAAGTTCCTTATCTTTTTACGGGCATGTTTTAAAACCTTGAAGTTGGGGGCCTCCCTGGTGGTACAAGGGGTTAGTTAAGATGCAACCTATGAAGCTGTCCGCAGCCTCTGCAGCACTACTGCGATCCCAGGCCAGGGAGCTACCCACATGGCGCAGCAGACCTCTCCCGACTCGCCCGCTGCTCCCCTCAGCAGTGTATTTCATCAGTCTGCTGTTCTGTTCCCCGCTCAGTCTCTGGTGAATCCTCTCAACTCCCCCCACCCCCAACACACACACACACACACACACACACACACACACACACACCCCTCTGGCCTGTACCCCAGCTCTTGTATGCATAAGTAAATAAATCTTTAAAAATAAAACCTTGACCTTGGAGATGGTCGGGGTTGTTGCTGTATAGGCACGCTAGGTTGTCATCAGCTGCTGAGAAAACCGTGGTGACACAGGCAAGACTTGGGGAGGATTCTAAATAGATTGTGAAGCCTTGCCCTGGGCACCTTGGCTCGGAAATATAAGCCCCTCGGAGGCACTGAATCATTTCTAGTTTTGACGATGTTTTGTGAATCTGAGTGCCCAATGGTCATAATCGACTTTGACTCTGATCTGCGTTGCCACTAATGACCAGCCTACCTACCACAGCATTATTAGTTTGGTTACCCATTTATTTTATACAAGACATGTCCTTATTCTTTACTCACAACACCCACAAATCTACAAGTAAATTTTTAAAGAATCTGAACAATGTTTAAACTAAGTGCAGCTCTTAACCCACCTTGGGCTAATAGACTTGAAGGAGACGAAAATATGAACTTATTCTCCTGTGTTTATACATTGTTTGTCATCTAGGTAAATCAAACCATTTCTAAAACAGAAGAAAATATTGGAATCTTGAGGCCCAGGAATAGCAGAGGCCACTGGAATAATTTCAGAGATTTAAAGATTCAAAAGAGGTGGGACAGAGATGTCATAATATAATGAAAATAATGGATTTATGACATAAAATTCCCGTGCTCCAGGTCTCCATATGATACTTAGTAAGGAATCACAGTTCCTTAATCATTGTCTGAGAGTAAGACTTGCGTTTCCAAATTAGGAAATTGTGTTTGGATGAGTGTATCAGTTAACCTGTTAGCGCATCTGTTTCACCTCATTTAAAATGAAGGCCTTGGATTAGCACATGATCTTTAAGATTGCTTCCAATTCTAAAAAATTCCCTAAGACTTACTTCAAGTAACAGGGAATGGAGCCTCCCTTTTGGCGCAAGGTGTTAAGCACTGCCCTATGAAGAAGTCTGCAGCCTCTGCAGCACAAGTTCTATCCCTGGCCAGCCGGGAAGAAATCCACATGGTGAGACAGAACTCTCCTGTCTGCCCTCCACACCTCTGGCCTATACCCCAGCTCTTGTATGCATAAATAAATCTTTTTTAAAAAATTTAAATAATAAATAATAAATGAGAGGTATCAAGTTAATAATAGAGAATGCATTTCCAGGGCCTCCCTGGTGGTGCAAGGGGTTAAGACACAACCTATGGGGCTTCCCCTGTGGCTCAGCGGTTGAGCGCTGGGTTGTGAAGCTGCCCACAGCCTCTGTAGCGCTGGTTCGATCCCCGGCAGCTCCCCAGCCACTGGGTGAGGGTCCCACATGGCGCGCAGACCTCTCCTGACGCCCACTGCTCCCCTCAGCATTGTAATTCGGTCCTTCTGCCTGTTCTGCTCCCCGCTCTGGCTCTGGTAAATTCTCTCACCCTCCCGCGCTTCTGACTGTACCCAGTGCTTGTATAAATAAATAAAATAAATAAAAATAAAAAATAAACCTAAAAAAAAAAAAAAGACACAACCTATGAAGCTATCCGCAGCCACTGCAGCACGAGTTAGATCCCCCGCTGGCCAGGGAGCAACCCACATGGCGCAGCAGACCTCTCCTCTCTCACCCACTGCTCCGCTCAGCAGGGTATTTCAGTCAATCTGCCTGCTCTGTTCCCCACCCTGTCGCCAGTGAGTCCTATCACCCCCCATGCCTCTGGCCTGTACCCGAGTTCTTGTATACATAACAAAAAAAATCTTTAAAAAAAAAATAGAATGTTTTCCCAGAGGTTAAATTTTTTTTTTTAAAGATTTATTTTTATTTATTTATACAAGCACTGGGTACAGTCAGAAGCGCTGGAGGGTGAGAGAATTCACCAGAGCCAGAGCGGGGAGCAGAGCAGGCAGAAGGACTGAAGCACACTGCTGAGGGGAGCAGCGGGTGGCAGGAGAGGTCTGTGTGCCATGTGGGACCCTCCTCCTGTGGCCGGGGAGCAGCCAGGTATCGAACCGGCGCTGCAGAGGCTGTGGTCAGCTTTGCAACCCAGCGCTTAACCGCTGCGCGCCACTGGGGAGGCCCAGAGGTTAAATATTTAAATCAGGGCCTCCCTGGTGGCCTGGAGATTTGAGTCTCAGTGCTATCACCGCAGCCCCCTGAGTTCCATCCCTGGCCAGGGAGCTGGCCCACATGTTGATAATTGAACCTCTCCTGTCTCCCTCACTGCTCCCATCAGCAGTTTATTTCAGTGGGTCCACCTACTCTGCTCCCCTCTCTGTCTCTGGTGGGTCCTTTTACCCCCCACACCTCTGGCCTACACTCCAGTTCTTCTACTAATATAAAAAATATTTAAATCAAACAATGCTTGTCGCATACGGCATATCGTAAACATTGGGAATTCAGAATAAAATAGAGGGCATATTCAAAAATATATTTCTAATTTAATTTCTACTTCACAATTCATGTTTCATGCCACACTCTTCCTAAAATTACAATTTCAAATTACTCTCCTGATCAAAATCTTATAACTTTGATTTACAGAGTATTAAAATTTGTTTTCTACCCACTGATTTTTCTAAGAATTAGAATTATAACATGAATAGAAAAGAATGTGAGTAGATATATGCTTTCAAATATCTTTTAATATTCAAGTTACTTTCTTGTCAAAATTAGTATACTTGTATAAACATAAATAAAAAATTAATTAAAAATGTGATGAGAGCTGTGGAAGAAACAGGAGGATCTTACTTGGACTGAGTAGTTAGGAGAAGTCTCACTATAATGGTGATTTTCCACTGAGACCTGATAGAAGAGAAGGAGCCAGCCTTGGAAAGAGCTAGGGGATGAGTGTTTTCTAGTAGAGGGAATAACAATTACAAATCTGTAAATAAAAAAGAGCTTTGGGCCTCCCTGGTGGAGCAAGGGGTTAAGTATCAGCACTGTAAAGCTATCTGCAAGGACTGCAGCACCAGTTCAATCCCCGGCCAGGAAGCTGAACCACATGACACAACAGACCTCTCCTGTCTGCCCGCTGCTCCCCTCAGCAGTGTATTTAAGTAGATCCACCTGTTCTGCTCCCCACTCTTTCTCTGGTGAATCCTCTCATCCTCCACACCTCTGGCCTGAATCCCAGTTCTTGTATGCATAAATAAATAAATCTTTGAAAAAAAAAAAAAAGAGCTTAAAGTGTTCTCCGAACTGACAGGTTATGTCCTGGAGAGAAAGAACAAAAAAAAGTAGTATCGATAAAGTTGGGCTCAGGGAAAGAGAGGGTAGACTGGGGCTCACAGATTTAGGCAAGAGATTTAAATTTTATTCTAATAACATTGAGAAGTCAGCAGAGAAGTAAAATTATAAAAGTATAAGAAAATAATATGATTGAGTATAATAAACCCATAACATAGCTTCAACAATTATGAGTTCATGATCCAAGTTAACATTTTGAAAGATCTCTCTCCCTTGTGGAGAATGTACTAGAAGGGCCAATATGTAGAAGGGAAGCCAGAAGGTATTTGTATTGTAGTAGACCAATTGTTTCTCAACAATTATGATTTGTTTTAAGGCAGTGTCATGAATAACAGAAAGAAGAAATTAATAATCTCAAGGTAAAATCAACAATACTTAGTGATTGATTATGGGATTTGGGGAAAGGAAGGAGTTAAAGATTACTCCCATTATTTATTTATTTATTTTGGCTTTAGTGATTATTGTATGGTGTGGCCATTTATTGAAATGGGGAAGGTATAACTTACATTTTGGGGATTTAGCTAAAAGTTCCATTTTAGATATGTTAACTTTCGGATGTCCTTTAGACATCAAGGTAATGATGTCAGAATTTTGGGAACTAAGCAGAGCCACACTAAAGGTGTGAATGCAGAAGTCCTCAGTAGGTAGATAGTATCATAAGATGGGGCCTCCCTGGTGGTGCAAGGAGTTAAAACACAACCTGTGAAGCTATCCACAGCCACTGCAGCACAAGTTTGAACTACCCGGCCAAGAACTACCCACATGGCGCTGCAGACTTCTCCTGTCTTGCCCGCTGCTCCCCCAGCAGTGTATTTAAGTAGCTCCACCTGTTTTGCTCCCCACTGTCTGGTAAATCCTCTCACCCACCCTCACCCCTGCATAGGTTGCATCCTAACCCCTTGCGCCACCAGGGAGGCCC